CCCTTGCAAGACTTGACAACATTCTCTGAAGGATTTCGCAGTTTACAGACAAGATCTCCCTGCAAGGCACTGGTGATGTAGTCTTCCCAGGAGTCAGCTATGAGGTCCAGGCTACATCACCATTGCCTCGTCAGACCAGGAAGTGCAATGCAAGAAATTGTTAGTAGTTTGATTTTAATAATATAGGTCCACTTTAGAGCTGCAGCTAACGATTATTTTCAAAATCGATTAGTTAGCCGATTATTAAGTTCGATTAATCGGTTAATCGGATAGAAAATTAAAATTAAAGTTTTTAAAAAACGGCTCCATTGATGGGACTGCTAGTTTGTATTGCGATTGTAGTCCATCACAGTAGCAAACTTGGAGCGGTGGAAGTAAAAAAAAAAAAGTGTGGTGTGCAATATAGTGAAATTAAAAGTGTAAAATTTAATGAATGCAGAATGGCACCGGCTATAGAGGACTACAAAACCCAGCAATAATGCATTATAGATGGCGGTATTCTGCATTGCGCTGTATAATGTACTATTGCTGGGTTTTGTAGTCCTCTATAGCTGGTGGTGTTCGGCATTGTGCTGTATAATGTATTATTGCTGGGATTTGTTGTACTCCTCTATAGCTGGTGGTATTGTGCTGTATAACGTATTATTGCTGGGATTTGTAGTCTTCTATACAGCGCAATGCAGAATACCATCAGCTATATAGGAATACAACAAATCCCTGCAATACATTATACATACAGTGTATAATGTATTCCTCTATAGCTGATGGTACATTGCTCTGTATAATATACAGTACAGCACAATGTACCATCAGCTACAGAGGAATAAAAATCCCAGCAATACATTATAGAGCACCATGTGTGGGAAAGTGCAGTCGTACCTGAGCAGTCTTCCAGCAACTTGCTTCTGAGATCGGGCCTGTCTATCTGCCGCTGTCCCCCCCCCACACCTTCTCCTCCTTACTACTTCTCCCCGCGTCCCTGTGCCGATCGTGGATGTGGGCGGGTGGTGAGCGTGCGGCGTGTGTAACGTGGATGCGGGCGGGTCTGGCAGCGGCGAGCGTGAGGTGGGGCGCGCAACGTGTGTGGAGCTGTGGACAGGGGCACCTTATCAAAAGCCGATTAATCGATTATTGAAAAAGTTGACAACTTTTTCAATAATCGATTATAATCGATTATGTCGATTAGTTGTTGCAGCCCTAGTCCACTTTAAACTAACCCATGTAATGGCACAGCTAGAACAGCTAAAGAAAGCAAATGTATAAATTCACCGCAGGGCAAATTATGACACTTTATAGACGCTGCAACTGGAAATGATGCTTTGCTGAATCTTTTAATCTCAAGCAATGCAGATTTTTTTATTACAGATATTCACGAGAAGGAAGATCTGGACAGCAGACTAGAACATGATTCATTTAATCTACCCTATAAAACAATTGAGCACTTAAGAAAGCCAATGTACCTGTTCGGTTGGCGGCTATCCAACACCTAGATTAGGAGAAAATATTGTCAACAGACAAAGAACAAAAATAGGAGCATTTCATCAGTTTTATGTAAACGCATTACACAGTTTATTCCGAAGGTCATAGAGTGTGAAGCACTAAAAATAAAACCGAAGTGTATTGCTTCTAGTGTTAAAAAGTCCTACATTTATGAGTAAGGTCTCAAGGGACACGTTCGACATTTTCAGATTTAAAAAGAATACAAGAGCTGCAAAAAGGAAATCAGACTAGCAAAAATGTAAAATAAAAGGCATGCTGCTGAAGAAAAAAAGAGCAATCCCCCACAATGATTGAAACTTATTACCAGTAATTAAACAAAGTCTCAAAATGTAGGTCACCTAAAAATGAGAACACTAGGAATAAAAGACAAAGTGTGACCATAAAATATCTTCATTGAAGTGACCCTGTCGCATTTAAAAAAAAAAAAATTGGGGTTAAAACTGCTGTTACCTGTAAAAGAAGGCCATAAATACTTTCCTGGTGCCCATGCCACTGACCCTGCTGTAATCACTAGAACTGGCCCCCTGAAATTCTCTGGAAAGCCAAGTTTCCATATCCTTAATTCTCCATAGACCTCACATTATAAGGTTTTGTTTTTTCATCTACTGGTTCAACTAGGGATTAGGTATTCTAAAAAATAAAGGGTCTTTTTAGGAGGGTTGGTCATAGGTGTCCCTTTCTTTTTTCCCTTGAATTTTTGCTAAAGAGGGATTCTGATGTGAAAGGGGACCACTCCGAGGGAGCTTCCGATGTCAAAAAGGGGACCCTGATGTCAAAACGGAAACTCCACTGTCTAGAAAGGCATGCGGTAACCCACTGAACATGGGGTTGCGGGCCACTTTTGGGTCAAGACCCACCAGTTGAGAACCAAGGGCCTAAGATAAGGGTTTGGTATTAATTTTGAAGGGTGGGGGACACTTTGTTTTTTACATTGATGTTTTTTCAGATTTTAGACTGAGGTGCCTTGAAATTTTGCATACTTTTCAAAGGTGCGGTTATTAAAAGAAAAAAGTTGAGAAACGCTGGTCTAGACATTCAGTCATTTGATAGACCAGTGCAGAAGCCTAGAGCTGACCAGTAAATGGCATAAGGCTTTTCTTTTATCTGTAGTGCAATGGACGGGGCAGGGTGGAGACTGTAGTGCAATGGACGGGGCAGGGTGGAGACTGTAGTGCAATGGACAGGGCAGGGTGGAGACTGTAGTGCAATGGACTGGGCAGGGTGGAGACTTTTGTCACGTGGCAAAAATTGTAATTCGGAAATCCATCAATATTAGAGGTGCATCAATGCTCCCGTCCTTTCCTTACTATACCAAAGAATGGGAACGAGAAATAGGACAGACTTTTGCAGAGGAGGATTGGTACAAAGCCTTTTATTTTACTTTTAAATCGAGTATCTCGGCCGGAACACTGGAGAGGAACTTTAAAATAATAACTAGGTGGTATAGATGCCCGGTGACAGTACATAAAATAAACCCCCAAGTAACTAAGATGTGTTGGAGATGCGGGACAGATGAGGGCACAATGCTGCATATATGGTGGACTTGCCAGGGAATTAGGCCCTACTGGAGAATTATTTTTGAACTAGTGGGTAGAGTCATGGGATCAAAACTATCCGAAACCCCAGAAGTGGCATTACTGTCAATGCTTCCGGGCCCGGTAAAAAGTATTAAGAGGGGATTGGCATGCCCCTTATTGGAAGCAGCAAGGGCGATAATTCCAAGACATTGGAGACAACCAATTACTCCTGAGGTTCGGGACTGGGTATTGGAGGTAAATCATGTTATGCGAATGGAAGAACTGACAGCTCGGGTATATGATAGATACGCAACATTTGTAGAGAAATGGAGACCATGGATGGCCTTTCTTGGCTCAACAGAGATTCAAAAATACTTATAAGGAACTAGTGTACTGTTTGCTTCTTCCTCCCTCCCTTTTTTTTGTTGTTTTTGTTATGTGCTTGTTTGGATCGCTTCCGTGCAGCTACCATTGAAGGGGAGGTGGGGGGAGGGAGGGGCTGAGAGAATGGATGAAGTGGGGACGATGATGGGTTGTAATGTAGGAGTGAGAGTGAGGAGTGAATGGTAGTGGGAGTGTATAGTTTTTTTTTTTTTTTTTTTTTTTTTTTAATTTTTCTTTTTCTGCTATGTTTTCTTGTAATAACAGATATAATAGTATCTATGATGGTGGCTTAGCTTAACACAGAAGTGATTAAAAATATTAGTTAATAAGCAATAATGGATAAGAGATAGTAGTTGAATGTAGCTGTCATTGGTACTTTTTTTCTTATTACGTATTTAATTGTATAAAGAAATTGTATATGATATGAAATAAAAATGTATTCTTGAAAAAAATATTAGAGGTGCACCGAAATTAACATTTTTGAAACGAAACCAAAATAAGAAAAATTTTAAGACCGAAACCGATACGAAAAATGTTTTTTATTTTATTTTTTTCAAATGTTAAATTTTTTATTTCATTTTTTTTTATTTTTTACATTACTTTTAGGGGCTTCGGGGAAATATTGGGGGTCTAAACAGACCCCTGATATTTCCCTTTTAAAATAGAAAAAGAGATTTAGGACACAAAGTCCTCTATCTCTTTTTCTGTGTCCCCTGTTATCAATGAACAGGAATCCTCTATACTGAGTGTTCCTGTTCATTGATAACATGAGGACATGTTATGTTTACTATAACTACAACTATGAATGAACAGGAGGTGATGTAGTTCACTTCCCATTCATTCATAATTGGGGATATAGTAACCATACTATGTCCTCAATTATTTTCAAACACTCAGCGATCACTGATCACTCAGGGTTTCTACTCGCTCTCCTTCCTGACGCTGTCACAGGAGGCTGAGCGAGCGGTGCAGGGAGGAGAGCTCGACCTCCTGTGACTGTGCGGGCTGTCTCTGCCCACACACCACTCTGCCGGACTGTGATAGGAGGCTGAGCGGTGTGGGAGGAGTCGCCGGCCGCTCACAGCGCTCTCCTCCTGCAGCGCTCGGCAGCCTGCCACAGTTTCTCTCCTCCCCGCTGGAACACAGAGCAGCGCCCAGCGGGGAAGAAAGAAAGCAGGGATGCGCCGCTGTATCGGCAGGAAAATGGCACTTTCAGCATTATGCCCAAAGTGCCATTTTCGGCCGATATGTTTCGGCGGCCGATATATCGGTGCATCCATAATCAATATTCTTGTGACGTGTGTTTTTCAGATTAGCCTGGAGCAAGTGTATTTCCTGCTCTGCAGAGGTCAGACTGAGGAAGCATACAGGACACTGACAGTCGCTGAGAGCTGGAGGTACGGCAACATTTCCATCTTCCAGAATGAACTCGTGATGCTGGTACAAGCGCACAAAGCTGTACTGGACTGCCAGTCGTGGATGGACAAGAGATCTGCAATGGCTAAAAGTGGTAATCTTTCACTCTCTTCTTGTCTCTATTCTGTCTGTGCAATAAACTCATTGCTGCACAATTATTATTATTTTTAAAGATTTTGCCACACGTATGGGGGCAGATACTAATGTTTATAATAAGATACCCAAGGCTGTTTACAGCTGTTCAATGCTCAACTCCAGCCAGATATAAAAGACGCAAATCAATGCTCTGTTGCCATTCATTATACGGTTAAATGTATTTGTATTAATTTGTTAATATATTATTTTTTAAATGCCAGCAGTGTAAGTACCTGAAATTGACTTTGTATCAGCCTTTTGCAAACCCTTGTACAACAGGGGTGTTGAAAAGATAAAGCTGAGGAGGAGAGAGCAGAGGGATGACTTCATCAGTCTGGGGCTGCTCTTAAACTGTCCATTTAGCAGGCAGGGGTTGGAGACAGGATACCACTCCGCTCCATAATAGGGTCATCCACCTGGCTGTGCAGAGTGACAGAGCTGTGTAAATATCAGGACTGGGTGGACAGAAATACAAATGCTTTGTCAGTTAAACAGTTCCCTTACTGATATTTTATTTATGTATTAGCTTTAAAGCGGACCGTTAACCCCCCCCCAGCTCAAAAAGCCCATTTTAGGGATGAGTGAAATTAAGGGCCCATTCACCCTAAGGTGCTCCATAGAGGTGCATTAATGCATGTGTGTTATAGCATATGCAGGGCTGTCCCTATTATGAGGAAGTCTGAGGTGGCATCCAATTGGGGGGCGGCCAGGTGGTGGTAGCAGGAGCGGCCACAGTGTCCCAGGTTGCTAAGAGCTCTTAGCAACCTGTGATTCTCTGTGCAGATTCCCACCCAGCTCACTGATATCAGCGGTTGCCAGGAGCTGAGCGGGATGCTCTGGCTTGCGTCCCGCCAAGCTCCTGGCAAGTAGTGATGTCAGTGAGCTGGGCGGGACACCGGATAGAGCTGTTGACATTGCAGCCCGCTGTCCGCCACCCTGAAAGACAAATTAGCACAACAACCGTAATCTCGACTAGAGGAAGCCACCACCATGTTTCAGAGCAGGGAAGATGGCAGCGGTCGTGTTTCGTCACCCGATGCGGAGTTCGCGAACGAAAGCAAAATTTTACTGAGCTTCCTGTTTGCAAACCGAATTGTTCGCAAACGGAAGCGTTCGTGAACCGAGGTACCACTGTACTCTGATGAATGAAGAGTTGTCAATATGTGTAAGGCGGGGGGCTGATATTGATTGTATGGACAGAAGAATTTCATCCGATGCATCATCTGAAATGGAACCGAGGTCCACCTTCTGTTTACGTTTAAGCAAACATTTGCTAATCAGTCGGGAATATGATGTTGAGATGAGTTCTTTTTCTTTCTAGAGATGGATTACAGTTCTCAATCATCCACTACCAAGGATCTAAGAGGGTTTTGTAGACAAGCCAGCATGTCCTTCCGAGAAATCCTCCAGAGACCGGGAGTTTGGGACCCCTTTGTACTCAGCTACGTAAATGTGAGTTTGCACTTCTAGGTAGCCTACACGGCCCAGGGAGGTAGTGCTTTTAGCAGTGTCGTACAGCCCGCCAAACATTAAAACGACTTTTGTGCAGTCAAAGGTTCCAGGCTGCTGTAGTGGTGATCTCATAGGGGTGTATGTAGCCATATGTTACTGCTTTGTGGCCCCAACAGTCACTGAGAAAAGATTCAAACACAAATGGAAGAAACCTGCTTCCCTTGGCTACCTACAGATGCGAATTTCCCCTTCAGCCACTAGGTGGTGCTGTGTATAGAGCATCTGCAGCACTTCTAAATAAAAACCATGCACTAGAGATTTCAAGGCTGCTGAAATCTACCTAACTCCCATCCTTTATCTTCATGGAAGGGGATTATGTAGGGATTAGCCATGCCTCATACGCTGGCAGCTAATTATTCTGCTAGTGAAATTTGCCTAAGACCTCACTTGGACATTGAGGACCTTGGCAAGTCTTGGCAGACACAAAATAAAACTTTGCATGTTCATGCAAATTTACAGTTCACTGTTATAGCTTTAAGAAACTGATTAACCATGACTGCCATGTTTTATGTAATTGTTGGCCTTTTTTTTTTTTTTTTTTAACTTAATCCACTGTTTGCCTTGCTTCAGCTCCTGGAAAACTCAGGGAAGGAAGAGAAGGCTGAGAATGTTTTGACAGAATATGCCTACAACAACACGAACCCAGCAAACCCCAATGCCCACGTATACCTGTATGAGTTCAAGAAGAGGAGAGGGGATTCGGATGAAGAGCTAATTAAAGTACTGAAAGTGAGTATGGATGTGTGTAACAAGTGCTGAATTATTATAAGCTTGGTGTTATTTCATATCGAATTATTAGAGGCCTCATTATGTAGCTACATTTATATTTTACTTTTTGGAAGCCTGTCTAAACCATATAATTGGCTCCCTCCTCTATGCAGGGCAGCAAGGGAAGCTTGTAGCCAATATATGCATGAGTGCCTGTGGATAAGAACGGCATCTTTAATAACTTAAATTAGCTAATAAATTTCAATTAAACTTTTTCTGCAAAAATGCAAGCAGTGTAGGGCAGGGGTGCCCATTAGGTTGATCGCAATCTACCAGTCGATTGCAAAGCAAACACTAGTAGATCGCGATCGGCTCACTGACCACAGCTCCGTCACGCGGCACGAGCACTGCAGGAGGACAGGACAGCGCTCATGTGAGGAGACCTGGGAAGCTGCTGCACTGCAGGTAAGGAAAGACAGCCAGGGGAGAGAGAGAAGAGAGAGCCAGAGAAGAGAGAGCCAGCCGAGAGAGAGAAGAGAGCCGGAGGAGAGGGAGGAGAGAAGAGAGAGCCAGAGGAGAGAGGCAGCCGAGAGAGAGAGAGAGAGAGAGAAGAGGCAGCCGAGAGGGAGAGAGAGAGAAGAGGCAGCCGAGAGAGAGAGAGAAGAGGCAGCCGAGAGAGAGAGAAGAGACAGCCGAGAGAGAGAGAGAAGAGACAGCCGAGAGAGAGAGAGAAGAGGCAG